AGATTAAGAGAGACAGACAGAGAGGGAGAGGGAGAGAGGGAGAGAGGAAGGGAGGGAGGGAGGGAGAGAGGGAGAAAGGAAGGGAGGGAGGAAGGGAGGGAGGGAGAGAGAGAGAGAGAGGCAGACAGACAGACAGAGAGAGAGAGAGAGAGAGAGAGAGATTAAGAGAGACAGACAGAGAGAGAGAAAGAGATAGATAGAGAGAGAAAGAAAGAAAGAAAAGAAGAAGAAAAAAAAAAAAAGAGATAGAGAGAGAAAAAAAATATTTGATAAAGACGATGCCTCTCCAGCTGCTTGTGTCAACATCCCGTTTTCTAACACTTTTGAGGTTTCTGTTTGCTTCGTCTTCGGCCGAAATGAGACTAGTGGCTCTCGCTGTCTCTAGGGGGGCACAGGAAGTGGGGGTGGGGGGGCATCAAGAGGTAGGATAGGTAGGGTAGGGGAGGGGAGGGGGAGAGTCAAAGGGAGGGGGAGGGGGGAGGGGCATTAAGAGGTAGGGTAGTCAGGGTAGGAGAGGGGATGGGGAGAGTCAAAGGGAGGGGGAGGGGGGAAGGGGTATTAAGAGGTAGGATAGTCGGGGTAGGGGAGGGGAGGGGGAGAGTCAAAGGGGAAGGGGAGGGGGAGGAAGGTGTAAGGCAAAGGGGTGGTTGGGGAAGAGGGGGGAGAGGGGGGAAGTAGAAGGTAGGGGAAGAGGAGTAGAAGGTAGGGGGAAGAGGGTGGGGAGGAGGAGGTGTAAGGTGTAAGGGGAGGAGGGGGGTGGGGGTATGAGGGGAGGCAAAGGAACTATGGGTGGGGGGAGGGGGGTACAATGTAACTCGAAGCCTTCTCTATATTACAATATATCTAACTCGCTCACATCATTGTATGCTTTCTCTCTCTCTCTCTCTCTCTCTCTCTCTCTCTCTCTCTCTCTCTCTCTCTCTCTCTCTCTTCTTCTTCTTCTTCTTCTTTAAACGTTTCTTTTAAAAAATCCTACATCAGCAATGAAAAAATACATTGGTCAAAAATGTAAATTGATTAAAAAAAAAAGAAAAAGAAAAATATAGCCTTTATGAATAACAAAATAAAAACATATGAAGAGAACAACTTGCTATTCCCACTAAAAATCGAACCGCTTCGAACAGGATAACGAACTTACAAATGAATAAATAAATAAATAAATAAATAACCTACACCCGCCGTAATATAAATCCCTTAAAACACACACACACACACACACACACACACACACACACACACACACACACACACACACACACACACACACACACACACACACACAATGGACAAATAAACAATTGAAATGAAACCGCTTCGAACAGACAGTCGGGGTTTCGAAGACGTTCGGATCTCCTGAAAGCTGACGCCATTGTCTCGGCGGATATGCGAAGGACGCGACTTTTATGACAACGCTCAGAGCTTACATAATATAAAGATGGCTTTTCTTTCCCTTTCATGTGATCGACATTTCAGTTCGGATATATATATATATATATATATATATATATATATATATATATATATATATATATATATATATTGATTGATTGATTGATTGATTGATTGATTGGGTAAGTGAGGGAGTGAGTGATTGATTGATTGATTGCTGCTGTTCGAGTAAGGTTGTGGTCATTATCTATTATCTTTTATGTTATATATGTGTGTGTCGGATTTTAAGATGGATACCCATGTTTCTAGCTCGTCTGTCTTTTCTGTCTTATTTAGACATATTTGTGCTTATTTTCGGATAACACGATTGAGTAAACATCCAGCTCGAATGGGCGGTAAATCCCCGGAGCGACGGAGCCCGAGTCGCAGGCCAACGAAAGCACCAGAAACAAAAAATCCGCAAAAGAAAACCATTTCCCTCGAAGACAAGGGCACAAAGCCATCCACCTGACAAGCGCTTCAGTCCTCAAAGCCTGGTAAATACCCGTGCCCCTTCTCTCCCCCTCCGCCCCTCCACGCCCACCCCTCGTCCTCCCGCGGGTGCCAGCCAGTGGGCGGAGGAGGAGGAGCCGGAGGAGGCGTGCGGGCGGGCGTGCGAGTTCTCCGGCCATCCCTTGGGCCCGCGGCGTCATTACCGCCCGCCCCTGGGAGATGGCAGCGAGACCGCGTGATAAAGAAAGCGATATGAAGTGCTAATGACGTGTTTGTCCTTTTTCGCGCCTCGTGGGCCTCGCCGAGGTTTTGGCGGGCTCATCAGCCGCCCCGCGTTCGGAGGCGAGCGTTCCTGGCTTCGTTCACGGCCATTCCTCCTCCGCAAGAGCGCGTGGCTCCGACGTTCCGACCTTCCGGAGGCAAAAGGAGACTGCCCATGGCCGCCGAACGTGTACATAACCGGAATGCCGATCGGGCTTTCGATAAAAAACACAGTTAAATAAAGCCCGACGCAGCGCCAACCCGGACATCGAGACGGTGTGGATGGTACTTGAAGACTCGCGAGAGCCTTTGTCCAGGAGGTTCTTTGTGAGCG